GCAAATGCCCGGATCGATACCGTAAATCAACGTTCGAAAGGGATCGATTACCATTTAAAGTGCAGCGTGAGTCTTGGCTGAGAAAATCTCAACGAAGTTCGTGCACACAAGAACAATGAAAATTCGCGAGTCTTTGGGGGGAAACAAACAACTGTCTCCTCGAGCTGAAAACTGCAAAGCCATCTTTTCTATCGGTTCGTGGAGGCGATAAATTTTGCTCTTTCCTATGAGCTCCCATGCGTTCGCCTCTCATAAAAAAGAAAAGTTCCCGGGAAAGGAATACCGGAACGAGGAGAAGCTTGTCAAATACTCGAAAACTGGTACTCGCAATAGGAGCATTCGTTTCAACTTTTTCCATCGGGGGCCCTCTTCAACCAACTTCCCCCCCCGAAACGTTCGAACTTCTTTCTCCAAACAATGCTGGTCGATTATTTCGCGTGCAACCCACGCTAATGCAACTCTGTTAGAACATTTCGAAGACTGGGTTATGACGCGTTGCTTTATTCCAGAAACGTAGAATTTAGGAATAGTTAATCCATTGTGGCGTTGCTTCCCATGCTCGCCACCAGAGGGCTCGCGCTCTCACAAGCGCTCTCACATTCCTCGAACAACTTCTCAATATCCCAGTCGTTTAAGACTGAGATAGCTCCCTCCTTTCCTTTTCTGCCCTCCTTCGAAATTCTCTCGAGATTCCACCCTCAGCCAGCAGCGCCACACCATCAATTTTGACACCAGAATTTTGTAAACAGCTGGTATGGGTGGCCCAAGCGTCAAAACACCCCTGATTACTATGGATCGAGCGAGAGGAATCAATACACCGACGAAATACCGGGTATCCACTATTAGATATGAATATTTCAGGACTGATATGCGTCGACACGTAGCCGAACTTTCCAAATGCGCTAAATCCCATGATAATTTGGTTAGACCAAACTGCGGAGCGTCGGTACTAGAAACTGCCCCAACTTCTGAGATGGAGCTACCGCTACACGCAAATAAACCGCGTGTTTGAGAAGGCGAGCAACGAAAGTAATTGGATGAATTATTCCTTGGATATCGAGCCGGTGTATTCCACCTGGTAGACGCTGCTTAAGCTTCCAAACAAGTATATACTTGAATTAATTCGAAGACAACGGTTACATCTGATGCAGCTGGAAACACCGCGATGAACGTTACAGAAACCATGGAATTCGTCGTTAAAAAAAATTGTACGATCCTGAAAATAGTTGTGCAGTTTTATCATCATCGAGTTGCATTCGTTTTTTTATTTCTATAATAGTTTTCGAGAAAGCTGATCCCCATGATTCTTTTTTTTTAACAGATATTTTTTAAAACATGCATCGAGAATCATGAAAGGGTAAAAACATACACAGGTCGATTGTTTTTCGGAAGGATAACGTAGAGTTATTAACGATCTCTTGCAGATACAAATGCGTACGAATAAAATAGAAGATTAAATATAAATTAATTTTAATATTGAGAATCTTTAACGGAGCGAACAATGTACGCCCGAAATGAGAACCGAATTGCCCACCCACGCATTCCAATTCTCATTCGATAATTAACGTTCCGCGTAAAATGAATGAAAAGCCCACGCGTGTTTGGTTTCTCGTTTGTTAATCGATAGAAAACATCGCGAAGAAACGACGTCCCGTTTTTTGTCTTTTTTTTTTTTTTTTTTGACATTTCGTTCGCAACGAACGCATTCTCCGGCGTAAAAAACAAAACCTGGGAACCAGTAACGTCGAATAAAAGTGCTTTTTAACGACAAAGAGGGAAAATGATAAATAGAAAGTCGCGGATACGCGTGCATCCTACGCGGCGCGTGTCTTTCGCGTACGATTATTCCTGCGCCAGCGATTTCGCGAAACGTTTCCTGGAAAATCGTCGTCCCGCTTTATTTCGGAGGGGAACAAAAGAGCCCGGAACCGCTCGCGTTTCGAATCAACAGCACGTCCTTAATTCCGGGAAGAGATAATCGAAAGTGCAACGACTTGATTAAACGTCCGACGAGCTCGTTACAGCCCTCTACCTATAAATTAAACAAGCGAGACCGCACCTTTGTTTAACCACGATTAATTTTAAATACCTCGAACCATATCTCAACCTACGTAAATGTAAAATAAATATTATGTTCGTGTGTAAGTTTTTGTTTTATTATTCGTTTATTGACGGGAAGAAAATCCTTTAGTACAAAATATGTGATATGTAAAAAAACAAGAAATGTGAATTATACATAGTAGATATCATTATAAAATTTTTAGCAAGATAATTAATTTATAATACGCTGCAAGGATAATTTTAGACTTTCTAATGATTGTTCAATTATATCTGTTTGTGTGTGTACAGGGTTTGCACGTGTAATCATTCTAGTTACACAATTCTGAGATCCAAATGTTGTGGGACACCTTTCAGAATAGAATAGACTGTGATTTCTTAAATATTTTGATGTTACATACAAAGGAAACAATTGAATAATCGTTGGGCATGAAAGATATGACCATTGAAAGATAAAACAGAAGAGAATGTAATATCAAAGACGAGGTATACGAGTAGAAATTACATCCAAAGTATTTCTGGCCTCACGTAACATTTTCGGTGAAGAATTTTTTTTCTCGAAAGTGCGTAGGATTTCGGGGATATGACTATTCACCAAAAATGATTCAAATTAACCCCTCTAGCTAAAAATAATTTTTTTAGAACGATTTGAAATTTTTTTTCGCCGAGAAATTTAAGGGAAATAGATGTACGTCTGGTCGGGCATCATATTTTCAGAAATGAATTTTTTTCTCGAAAATGCGTAAGAATTGGGGGGTATGTCTATTTACCAAAAATGATTCAAATTAACCCTTCTGGCTAAAAATAATTTTTTTTAGAAAGATTTGAAATTTTTTAATATCGTCTAAAAATTTCAGTATCTACTCGAATTTTTTTCTCGAAATTGGGTAGGATTTCTGGGGTATGTATATTGACCAAAAATTATTGTAATACACCCCCCTAGCTAAAAATATTTTTTTTAGAACGATTTGAAATTTCTTTTCTTCGTCGAAAAATTTCACCACCTACTCTATCGATTTTTCTTTAAAATTTGTATTTCATTTTTAATAAATTTGTTTGAGACTCTACGGTAATGTTGTTTAATACTTTTTCGTAATTATTCATGATTTATGACAGTCAGATCGAGCCACGAAATTCCATAAGGTATAAATTCTACTCGTATACCTCGTCTGTGATAATACCAAAGATCTTTAACATAATTAAATGGAGTTAGTAAAATACCATTTACAGTATAATTATAAACAACGCAATTTTACTTATTACTAAACCTAACAATATAACATTCATCTAGATTGAAGGACGATTTATTTAATGAGCACCATGTCCGACCAATGCTCGATATTTCTACTTGCAATGATGAATTCGGTAACTTAAATTACTCATTAATTTTTTAATTTTACTGCACTTTTGGCTCCAGGTGATTCGTGACATTTGTGAACTATCCACCACCCTATATAAATATAAAATAAATTCTGTTCGTACGGGATTAACGTCGAAAGTTCATGCCCGACCAATACTCGATATTTCTACTTGCATCGGTGTTCTTAATCCTCAGACGGCTACAACCGAGTTGTTTCTGAAAATTTCTTCCCGACGTACCAAAAGCCAGCAAGTTAAAAATAAAAAGAACGTAAATAACTGGTGATTCGATTGCTAAAACGTAAAATTATCATTTCACGAGTTCCTTTTTCCCCAGCGTTTCGGGAAGCAAATTTCGCGCGAAACCGTGAACGCGGAACGAAGCTCCGGTTATTCCATAAATTGGTCGCAACCGACAAAAACACGGTCTGTCGTCCCTTTTTGCGTGTTTGCTTCTATTCTGTCGAAATGCTAACGTCCCTGGCGGCAAGGTTACGGTAGAAAAAGGGGAAAAAGCTTTCACCGGGAAACAGGACAGTATCCAAGCGAGCGCAATATCGACGCGATCGTCATGGAAACTTTTCTCTTAGATCACGGAAGCTTGACTTCGGGAGCATTTTTCCGCGCAACGGAAACGACGGAAAGTTTGCGAAACCGCGTCGCGAAAAACCGTCGCGGTTCGAGCATCATTTTTCGGTATTTTAAACTGTCCCACTTTCCGCCTCGCCTACCCCCAAAACGACGCGAGCGTTTCTTTTAAACGTCCGATCGTCGGGCCCCCGCCATTAACGAGACGCGTTCTTCCGTAGAAACTTCCAGAGTCGAAGATAACGCGACAGTTTTTAATCATTCCCTGATATCAAACTCTGGACAGACTGTGGAACGAATTTCTGATATCTTTGTTTCCCTCGAATTACACCGTTTCCTTTGTAACACCCACAGTGCCGAGAATAATAGGGTTGAAACGCGAATTAAACCATCTGTGAACCGCACGGAGCAAACAAAAAGTATCACAGGCAGAACGGATCGATGCACGATGACGGGGCAGGAAAAATAAAATTTAAAATGTCGAATGGGTGAACGCGCAACGACGGGATAAAGAACAAGGTACAATGAACGCCATCGCTGTACGGAGAACGCAACACGTTGGAACCGTTCGAAGTTTAACCGCGCCGTTTCTAACCGAAAGTTTGTCTTGGAATTAAGCCGACAGTCGGCGAACGTTTAAAGGGCCGAAAATACGGCGCAGCGGGGAAGCCTGGAAGAAACTACGACAAAGATTGGACGCAAAGCTCGCGGTAATTCCAACGTTTACTCTCGCGGGATTAATTAAGTGCGACTGGCGTTAACCCGTCCGGCGATCTCGGGGAACAAAAACAAAAAGATATAATTAATGGCCAGGAAACGGGCAAGAAAGGGCTTCGTTAGCGTCGTCGACTAATCGCTGGCGTTCGCGGGTACGTAACGAGCGCCGAAGTTTGGGACGGAAATCTCCGGCGCGATAAATAAATTCACGCAGAACGTTATGGTGAGTCGATGAAAATGTTCGAAGAGAATGGAATAAAAGGGGATGTGGTACGAACCGATTGTCGAGCGTGCCTGAGAGTGAACGATGGGATTGTTATTGGCCTCGGAGTTTGTCGTCTGCGGTCGATCGGTGATAGCGGCAGTGGTGGAGGTGGCGATGGTGGTTCCGGGTGCCGATGTGAAGCTAGAAGTGGACGTCGAGGACGGGTTCGTTGTGTTTAACGGCTTAGAGGACCAGGAGCTGCAAGTATCGCAACCCTCCGCGGAGCGTGTTGACAACCGGCAGCAGGACCAACGTTTTCCACTCCACAATCCGGCGTGATAACGACCGCTCAGACCTGGATTCTCGCTGCACACTGTGGACAAATTGACAATTACCCTCATAAATCGGTGATCAGGGTGCTCGAAATAATTTCTAATCGGTGATGTACACTTTTGGAAACGCCATGCACGGTCAATCTCATTGAAAATCGTACAGGTTGCGTCGTGAGAAGTACTCGGTATAATTGTGGGACAGGGAATTTGGGTCGAGAATAAATTAATTATTCACAGTATAAAAAATTAAACGTTATTCTTTATCGATGAAAAGGAAACATTATGCGTCAAATCTTCATTTGTTTCTCTGTTCTCAAGTTGATTGTACGAGGGTTCCTAGCAAAAAAAAACACAAGAAATTTGGGAACAAATATCTTTATTTTTCAACATAATCTCCTCTTAGCTAGGTACACTTTTCTCAGCGGTGTTGAATAGCTTCGATACCCTGTTTATAGTGAGAACCATCGGGCTCCTCGAAATAGCCACTAACCGCAGACTCCACCTCTTCATTATTGGAAAATCTTTTACCACCGATTTTTTTCAAGTTTCGAAAGAGAAAATAATCCGAGGGGGCTGAATCTGGCGAATAGGGCGCGGTGAGGGAGCAATTCGAACTTTAATTCCTGGATTTTGGCCATCGGGATACCGGATGTGTGAACTGGTGAAACAACACTTTCTTTTTCGCCAAATGCGGCCGTTTTTCCTTGATTTTGTCACTCAAACGCTGCAAAAAATTCGCATAATACTCGCCATTGATTGTTCTTCCTTTTTCAAGTGAATCAATGAAAATTATTCCACGCGGATTCCAAAAAACTGACGCCATGATCTTCCCAGCAGATGAAACTGTATTCGCCTTCTTCGGAACTGGTTCTCCCTTTACTGTCCATTGTTTCGACTGTTCCTTCGACTCAGGTGTGAAGTAATAGACCCAGGTTTTATCCAGGACGCAAAAAACTCGGCTTTATTCCTGTGAAACATCGCCAAACACTCGATTTGAAGCATCCTGAGGACGCTGTTTTTGCTCCATTGCGAGCAAGCGCGGCATCCATCTTGCGCACAGCTTTCTGATATCCAAATTTTCAGTCATAATGCGTTGTACAGCACTTTTTGAAATGTCTACCATGTCTGCAAACTCACACACTTTCAATCGATACACTTTCGATCGTCCAATACTGTTTTGTGGATTTTCTTCACCATTTCCGGTGTGGTCTTGTAGTGTTCGTCTTGTCCAACCCAATATTTTGGCCACCCAATATTTTATTGTTGTAAATGAAGGTACAGACTCCCCTAGAATAGAATCTAGCTCAATTTTAACATCGATTGGACTGGAAACTTTCAATAGAAAATATTTTATCACATAACGATGATCAATTTTGTCCACATTTACAAATTCACTAAGACCGTTCACTATCAATGGCTGTTAAACAAATACCAAACAACGTAGTGTCCCCAAACTTGAAACTTAAGCTGTGTGAGGTTGATACTTCCTACCATAGTCATTTTTGTTCAACAATAATCGCCATTTCTACCGAGTTTGTACCAGCAAGTGACTGTATGCTACAACCAATTTAATAAATAATCTACCTCCGTATTTTTCTCTCCCCCAATTTCCATTGGCCCGTAAAATATATCGAAATTTTTTGAAAAAATCCGACTATGTCTCCGGGCGAGGCTCTTTCCGTCGACGTTTTCTCGCTCCTCTTTTTCGTTTCGGAACGAGTTTTTTCACGAGTTTGAAAGGCCATTCGGAAACCACGGAACCGAATAACGCGAGGATAAATGGTCGTGGATTCCCCGGGGGCGGTTCAAGACGTTCCCCGGGATCCCGAGAATTCGTTCTTATTAGGATGTTTCCGGTGTATCGCGTTTTGAAGCGGGATGTACAAACAAGAGAACCTTTCTGCGGAGCGGGGTCAAGAAGCACGTTATCCGACAACAAGACGGGGCTAAAAATTAATTAATACGAGTGGCTCGTTAAAATGCAATCCGAGGGAAGAAACTGTAATAATCGTGCTCGCAGGATTGCCATTTCCTCGGGCGTACTTTATCCGCGCGAGATTGCACGGAAGAAATTAGACTCGAACGGACGAATAACGAATAACCGCGTCAGACCGGAATAAAAATCGCTCTGACCGGACGTACCATCTGTCCACGTCTGCTACGAATAATTATAATAATGCCTGCGTGAAGTTTCGAACCGGTTCGCTGAAAGCATAGAAACACCCGAGTTTTCAACAGCGAGACCGTAGGCATTTCGAAACGAGTTTAAGCTAGAAAGAAATTAGAGCGGGTAATAAATATTATATGCGGCGAGACTATCAACGGAACTTCTGACCCGTAGACGTCTTACGGAGCTGTAGGGACGTTTTACATCCGCACTCGAGAACGAGAAGTGGCTGCTCCTCGGAACACGTGAAAGGCTATTCAAGCTTCTTGCGCGCGGCAATGATCATCTTGAAGAGAATGCTGCGGCAACATTTCAAATGTATGCGAGCACGGCGCCCGCATGAATCCGTGGAACTTTCCTTTTTAGAATTGGCGTCGTTCGCCCTCAAAGAAACGAAGTAAACTACGCTTACGAGAGAAACAACTGCCGCGGGGCTCGTTCTGATAATTGGATTCTACCGATGATCGCGAAAAAAATGATCGAGATTTTGGAACATTGTTGCGGATCGCGGTATTTGGATTCGATTACAATGCAACATTAGGCTCGCGTCTTTGTGAAATAAATTAATATCTCGAATGGAGGTTAGTGTGAGTTTTGTAAATGTTTATTTGCACATGTGGCGCTGCTTTGCTGTGGGTGGGAATTCGAGAGAATTTCGTAGGAGGACAGAAAAGGAAAGGAGGGGAGTAGACTCATCAGTAAGGCTTCCTAGAAGGCCCTGCCTTAGATGACTGGAATATTGGGAAGTTTCAGTTTTTTGTTTTTTATCTCGTTCTCATGTTTCTTCTGCAGTACCCTGGACTGTAGTAATCTGCACTTAAAATGTTTGTTAGTGTCTGTAATGTTCATGAGGATGTGTTATTGTGGTTTTCCTTGGGTTGAAAGTTTCAAAAACTTCGTTTACAGATATTGGGAAGTCGTTCGAGGAATGTATATATAGCAACTGAGGGGTAGATCGAGCGCTTGTGAGAACGCGATCCCTCTGGTGGCGAACGTGGGAGGCGACACTACACACACGATTAAGAATGATGAACGATGTGTTTGGTTGACGATGTGAGAAAGAAGTGATAATGCTGTTTGGTTCGACACTTGTAACGAACTGATTTGAAGAATGCTCGCCATCCTAGACCTTCCAAGCACCCTTGCAACGATGGGCTTGGAAGGGGGTGCGTGTCACGTCGCTTGAGGACGTTGGGGAAAGCTGTTTGTCGACGAGCAGGTCAACTTTCCCCAAATGTGCAGTTAGAGGCTCATGGTGTTAGTTAGGAGGCTCGTGGTAGGGCTGGCGCGTAGAAATGAGAATTGAAGAAACAAATGTTTCCCCGCCATGAACCCCATGTTGACCGTGAATCAAAGGAGGTCGATTCCAGGCTCAACAGACATTGTTAAAATGATCTTAGAATAGTGAGATTAGCAACGTATCGTGTAAGAGTTCATTTTTAAGGATTGTAAGAAGTCTATGTATACAGGGTGAGTTACCTAACATTTGCGCCTGAAATATCTTTGTTATTTTTAAAAATACGTCAAATGTCTTGAGGATAAAATTGAATGGTACAATGGGGCTCACACGATGCCAAAAATATTATTGTCTCTATGTCATTTTTTTTAAAGAAATGAAGGTCACCTTTTTTTAAATAGAATCACCCTTTTTGAAACACCTGTAATGACAGTCAGGAATACAATAACTATAATTATTGAAGGTCATCCAAGATCACGGGCGGAGAAAGAAGAATACCTGTATTTCACAAATGTTCAAAATGGTGGCCATTTACTGTAAACGGGCTCTGAGAGAATGTTGAACTCCGACAAGGATGAACGAGTCGTAAAAAACGGAAAGTTCTGCAAATACTTAAGTCTTGGAAAATACTTAAAAAAGGGAAATTGCTGCGACATCGAACGACATATGAGAGAAAGCAGAATACCTGTATTTCACAAATGTTCAAAATGGTGGCCATTTACTGTAAACGGGCTCTGAGAGAATGTTGAACTCCGACAAGGATGAACGAGTCGTAAAAAACGGAAAGTTCTGCAAATACTTAAGTCTTGAAAATGCTTAAAAAGGGAAATCGCTGCGACATCGAATATCATATGAGTTTATTGCTATCACGTACTTCGAACGAGATTTTGTGGGTTTAGTTTGCAAGAAAAAGAATGATTTTCCAACTGTACGAAGGTTCGGAACAGAACACCGTGAGAACGGGTTTTGCCAATTAACGCAGACGATCCTGTTTAACGTGCCGCGCTAATGATCCGCCGACGTGTTATATCGAATCGCGATCGTCTTTAATTCTCGACAGCCATTATCGAAATAATCGAATCAAAAGCGGATTATAACGTGCCCGCGGCGTAATGAATTTTCATACATAAAATCGATCGACGCGGAAGTACCAGAGAGGAGAGGGAGAATTGGAAGAAGAAAAAATGCTCGTATCGCGAAATCGAGTGAACGAATGTATGTTTAAAGAGCGGGTTGTCAAAAGACTCGTTGAAATCGCGTTGACGGGAAGGAAAGGGCGGGAAAAAAGATATGCAGGGAGGATCCGTCCATCGATGCAATTAATCTTTATTAACGTTGACTTCGCAGGGTGCATGCATATGCATTCGACTGCGTCGCGGGGGAGAGAAAAAAAAATTCCAGCAGTTTAAAAGGTTTCGATCGATATCAGCCCCCCGAGCAATTTGTCGTCGAGACAATATCGACGAGAACTATTGTACATGACAGCCCCGGAGCGGCTCCCTACGAAAGTGCAAAGTAGTCTAGTTCTGCTTATTCCTCTTTATTCCGAACCGTCTCTAATTATCCGCGTACCCACCACTCTTTCCCCCCTGATCCGACTTTGCCGAAAAATTCACGGCTCGAGCCACGCGGTTAATCGCCTCGTTAGCAACCGACCGTGCGGGGTCAATGAATTTTTCAGACGCCCGTAAAGTATAATTTATAAAGCGTCCTGTTTCGTTCCCTCGCGAGAAAGAGACGCGAAATGGGAAATGCCTCGAAACAATCAAACCAAATAACGTCAAATAACGTTGCAGCCAGGAAGAAAATTTGAAAACCATTGTTCGCTTTTTGCGCAGCAGTGTACCTCGCGGACTCGATTTCACTTCGAGCTCCGCGGAGCGTGCTGTGCACCGTGTTCCGCCCCGAATCATCCGATTTTTTAACGCGGTACAGAAACCGAATATCAACGCTTCGCGAAATAAATACGAAAGAGATGTTTCAGAAATTTAAACGATTCTTTCGAGCAAGGATATTATGTTCCCGCGCACTGTCCTGGCCAGTTATTGGAACGTTTAGCTGGCGGAGGATCGAGCGACTCCGTGAAAAATCGCGAGGGAAAGTAATTTTCGCGGATATTAAGGCGATGCCGGGGAACGACACGCGCGGAGAAGCGGAAAAAGTCGAAGATTCTATTTCCGGGGCCGGGCACGAGCACGAATAATAACCGATCCTACGTCGAACGAAATTCTTGGGAAACTCGTTAAAAGTTGGACCATCTCTCGGCGGTGACAAATCAATCGTTGGAGGGAGGGGGGGATGAGGGGGCCCCCACGAATCGAGATACGTCAGCGATATCGACGATCGATTTCCACGATTTCTGACGCGGCTCCACCGCGTGAATCAACTACGGGCCAAAAGCTGATACGCGAGTAAGTTCCACGTCGAGTTCTGCAACATCGTTCCATATTTCTGCGAGAAAAATGCCCACGGACGATTCGATCTGAACTTTGGTTAACCCCCTTTTCCCGCGTCAATTCGTCCCTCCCACGGAAATTTATCTGCTAGAAAATGAAACGTAATTTACAGCTTTAACGCGCTCGATCGATCGTTCGTATCAAGAACTAATATATAAAACGATCGTTTGCTCGAGACTGGACGATTACGGGGTTCCATTCGAAAACCGTGAAATTTATTCCGGATAAAAATTTTTGTCGAATCGTTCGGAGCCAATCGCGATGGCCGTTTTCGGTTCGGAAGTTTCGAGATAGCTTTCGCGAAACTGAAAATAAAATGCTCGATAGCAGCGATCGAATGAAAAAAATGTTTCATTTTGTTCGACGTCCGCCACAAACGAGGTCTTGATTACCGGTGTTACTAGGGGGAGTCGATCATCGAAGGCGTGACTCCGATAAATTCCGAACTTTGAAAAGTATTATGCAATTTAGAAGTTCCTAAAGTGACTTTCACGAGTTTAACGATCATTAGGGATATAATTGAAATTTACAAAGCAACCCTTGACGGAGCATCGTTCGTACTATGGGGGAAAAATTGAGTCGCATTACGGACAGTTAAAGCACGGGGGTCCAATTCCATCCTTCGTAAACTATTTAGTTGACCTCAAGAATAGTTAAATCCCGCCCCGTGGAATAGTTAAACCGCAACTTCAATACTTCCGGCGGGTTGATGAATAGAGTACCGACCACCTATGTGTCATGGACAAAAGCTGAGAGCTCGTCGGGGAACTTGCCGCTTTGCGGCGTAATTTTAGCGGAAACTTTCCGTCCATCTTCGTTCAACGCGTCGGAGTAACAGAATTTCTTGCCTCGTCGCGAACGGCGTTACCCCGGAACTTCGATTAACAATTGATTACGAAAGGCTCCCGAACCCCGCTCGATTCCTGAATAAATAGCAAATAGAAACGCGAAACTCCGAAATTGCTATTTTCAGAATTCATGCACGCCAGAAAAAAAAACAGTAATTATATTTACGGAACGATCCACACGAATAAATGGAAAATGTACTGGAACATTTTCTCGCGCAAAGTTTCGCCTATAAATCTGAATTTTATAAATCTTTCCGCGCAAAAATTGTAACGTACACGCATCCTGCGAGCTATATTTTTTTTTTAGTACAACGTTCGCGTGCCAGGAGCAATTTCAAAATCAATTTTCTCCAAGACGAAGTGCCACGAAGTTTTATTTTTGAAAATAGACCTTTCACTTTGAACTTCTTAAAATTTCAGCGTCAAAGCACCCGATCGACGCGTTGCTACTGTTCGTAACACATTTTACATTATACTGGCCGTTGCGACAGGCGATATTCGGGGGAAAATTTGTTTTTAGGTGCGAGACAACATTAAATATTCGTGGGTTGGAAAGCAGCAACGTGAACTGGGTTAACACGTCAAACGATCGCAGCTACGACCGAGTGAAAATCATTTTTTATTCGTCCCTCGTAGCGCGCCGGGTCTCGACACATAGTGTTTCGACGACAGCTGCGTCGGTAATTACTTCGCGATCCGTTCTAAACATCGTTGTAATTGTTATTTAATCGTCGCCTGGATCGATTATTTAATATATCGCTGGTTTATCAAATTGAAACACTATGTGTTTCTGTGTTTTGCAACTCTTCTCTAGCATCGAACTGTGCCCAGTTCGATGGCCAATTTGCACTCCGTTCTAGCGTCAGCTTGTATCCGGTACGAGGGCTAGTTTGCATTTCCGCTTTGAGTTCTTTGAAGGTGGAAACTTGAACTTCGAAGACGATCTCAGAGGAATTCGTGTCCAGGGTACGATCGTAAATTAGTAACCGGATTGTCAACCTTCGAACGGTTCTTCTTTGCGTTTCGCTCGGGTCCTGAACCGTGTCGACGACAGTTTCGCCCCAACAACGGAAACTACCGTCCCCTGTTAATGGTTTCGACGTTTCTATTCGCTTCCCCTTTAATTAATCGACTGGATTGTTTTTAAAAAGACACACCTTTAATCATCCTTAATTATCAATCGTTTAATGGCTGCTATTGTAGGCGCAAATTCAACCGATCGCTCGGGGCCGTTTCGCCGAGTAAGAATGACGTCACGAACAACCCTAACTCTTCTTACGCCATCGCTACGTGCCTCCGTATTTGAGAGATGCCTGCGGGTTTACGCGAGAGACGAGAGAGACTAGCAACAGAGTAACTAAACTCTATGATGGGGTTAAATCTCTCAATGGCCCTGAGCGACCGGTTGAACTTCGCTATAATAACGAAACGCCCGAGAAGTTCAACTCGCGTTACGATTTTCTGAACAAAGGACGGGACAAAATCACGGCCAAAAATCACTAACATCCGAACGATAAACATTTATTGAAAGTTAATAAGAAGAGTTCCCCTAAAACCGGACAGTAGCGTCATCTTTAAAGTGTGTATTTCTGGCCAAACATCACATTTTCGGTAAGGAATTTCTTCCTCGAAAGCGCGTGCAATTTCGGGGATATATCTATTCATTAAAAATGACTGTAATTAACCCCTTTAGTTGAAAATAATTTTTTTAGAACGATTCGAAACTTTTTTCGCCGAAAAATTTCAGGAGAATAGATGTACGTATGGTCAGACATGGTATTTTTTAGTAATGAATTTTTTTCTCGAAAATGCGTAGGATTTCGGGGGTATGTCTATTCAACAAAAATGATTATAATTGACCTCCCTAGCTAAAAATAATTTATTTTTGAACGAATTGAAATTTTTTTTTCGCCGAGAAATTTAAGGGGAATAGGTGTACGCCTGGTCGGACATCATATTTTCAGTAATGAATTTTTTTCTCGAAAATGCGTAAGAAATCGGGGGTATGTCTGTTCACCAAAAATGCTTGTAATTAACTCCTGCAACTAAGCATAATTTTTTCAGAACGATTGGAAATTTTTTAATTTCGTCGAAAAATTGCAGACCTCCTCGAATTTTTTTCTCAAAAGTGGGTAGGAATTCGAAGGTATGTCTATTGACCAAACATGATTGTAATTGACCACACAAGCTAAAAATATTTTTTTTAGAACGATTTGAAATATTTTTTTTCGCCGAAAAATTTCAGGGGAATAGGTGTACGTCTGGTCAGACATTCAGTGATGAATTTTTTTTCTCAAAAGTACGTAGGATTTCGGGGGTATGTCTGTTCACCAAAAATAACTGTAATAGATCCCCCTAGCTGAAAATAATTTTTTTAGAATGATTTGAAAATTTTTAATTTCAGCACCTACCCTACTAGTAAATTCTATTTAAACTGTTTTGAATTACGTGTTGAACTAATGCTATGTCCGGTACCAGGGGACACCTAATGATCTGTACAAATTCTATACCAAAATTTAACCAAAGTCTCGATAAATTATTATAATAATATTACATGTTTCGTTGCTTTATATTGATCTCTAATATTAAGTTATAAATAATAGAGTGCAGAAAGTATAAAGTAACCTTAAGTGTCCGGGTAATAGGGTAACTTTTCCTAGATTTAGAGAAGAGGAAAATGGAAAAGGAAAACTCACCAGCACGGATGGCACGAATCCACTCGGCGCGGTCCTGCTCGCGGCCAGCGAGAAGGTAGAGCGTGTACTCTTGGCCGGCTTCCCGATAGCCCACCTGGAAGGGTAGCCCAGGTGGTATTCCACCCCCGCCTCCGCCGCCGCCCGTTCCTGTCTCGCTGCCTGCCACGTCGCTGCCGACGCCGCCGGCGTTGCTCCCGAGGCTCGCCGTTTCAACCACGTGGACGCTCTCGACCGCGATTCTACCTCGTTCCTTGCGCCGCTGCGACAGAGAACAACCGAGTCCCCTCGTTAACGTTACGAGGAAAACGAAACACCGGGGAACCGGGGCCGAGACGCACCCGGAAGGCCCACGGGATACATGCAAACAACCAGCGCTTCCGCTTCTTACGGAACGTTTACTCTCCTTTCTTTTCCACGCTTCGCCTTACACTTTATTGTCTTTTAACTATTTCACTCTGATTTTGTAACAAACTATTTCTCCCAATTTCTATGATTCTATGATTCGACCATTACAAGATTAGAATTTCTTCAATTATCATTAACCTCCTCGTGATGAGGCCTGAAAAGCGTTTCTTCGTGGGGTAACATCGAACCAATGCGAATTTACTATTGTTTCTTGAGATTCAAGGGAATATTACACTGCCTAAAATTTTGTAATTATTCTTACAAGCTTCAGTGTGTTCCTTTATGATCAACCAATGGCTACGAATTTACTATTGTTTCTTGAGATTCAAGGGAATATTATACTGCCTAAAATTTTGTATTATTCTCACAAGCTTCAGTATGTTCCCTTATGATCAGCCAATGGCTACGAATTTACTATTGTTTCTTGAGATTCAAGGGAACATTATACTGCCTAAAATTTTGTATTATTCTTACAAGCTTCAGTGTGTTCCCTTATGATCAGCCAATGGCTACGAATTTACTATTGTTTCTTGAGATTCAAGGGAATATTACACTGCCTAAAATTTTGTAATTATTCTTGCAAGCTTCAGTGTGTTCCCTTATGATCAGCCAATGGCTACGAATTTACTATTGTTTCTTGAGATTCAAGGGAATATTACACTGCCTAAAATTTTGTAATTATTCTTACAGGCTTCAGTGTGTTCCTTTATGATCAGATTGAATCGTTCGAAAGTTAGTGTATCGAATGCCTTCATCGATTACAAACTGTAACAACTTCGGAACGGGATCGAAGAGCCTCCTCGAATCTTCGAAAAAGCAATTATACGTAAAATGAAAAGGCCGGGGACCGCGTCCATTACCAAAATAGTACGAACACCGACGGAGTGGCCCATCGGAATATTTACACTTTTATTCCAGTCTGCCAATCGGTTCGCGTATCGCGTGGGTCGCACGGCACCGGGGAACGGGGCTGATTGACAATGCCATTCGAGCTTTTTTGATATCGGTAAAACGCGCACCGAAACGAAAAACGACAGGTATTCCCGTCACGCCGGATGTTTTCGCGTTATCCCAACACAGGATCCAGATTACACACGGATTCTCTTTGCGTTACGTCCGTACGATCGACCAAAGTGTAACTTACAGCTACTCACATGTTCTCACAAAATCACATTTTCCTCTGTATTATATTATACAAAATTTCTGTAATTTGGTTCACTATATCGCTTGTATAAGAGAGTTATGAGTTCTGTCTGAATTATGCCCGAGAAAACGATACTTCTGACCATTTTCGAAGGCCCTCAAGAGTATCGTCGTTTCACTTAATATTTGAATGGAGGCTTTGCGCTCGTAAGTGCTCGTTCCTGCCAGGTACTTGTAGAATACATCGGGGGTTCGCAGCCAGTGAAAAGGATCGACAAGCGTTCGCGTGGATATCGAAATAGGGTATTTGGAATTGTCGAGCCAGTTGCACAGCTCCCCGGGATTCAACGTTCTCGCTGTGACAGGCTACAATAGAGGCAGAGATCCAACGTACCGTCGAGCTTAAGGCCCCGGTGAAGGAGATAGACGTCGTATCGTTTTGAATGCTACGACGAATTAGAATCGCGTTTTGTACGTTTCGAAGACGCGGAGCGTTTTGTCCGCGGCACGAAGCAATTTACCAACGTCCGCGAAAAAGATTCACGGATTCGGAAAAACTATTTCTATCGTGGGAGTTGAGAAAATTAGCGGTCCCGTCTTACTTTTCCACCGTTTTGGAATTCTATCTCGAATGTCTTCTCTCCGTCGACGATAAAATCGCGGAAGTTCTCGTCAGACGTGGTTTTCAAGCACTGAACTTCACTCTTTCGTTTCATGCTTTCTCTATTAATTCCCTTGGTCCTAAACCCTTGGTAGAGGGCTAGTTTGGTGTAGGATTTCGGGGATATGTCTATTGATCAAAAAGTATTGCAATTGACTCCTGCAATCGAAAATAATTTTTTTAGAACGATTCGAAATTTTTTTTCGCCGAAAAATTTCAGGAGAATATCTCAGACATTATATTTTCAGTAATGAATTTTTTTCTCGAAAGTGTGTAAGATTTCGGGGATATATGTATTAACCAAAAATGATTGTAATTGACTCCCGCAGTTAAAAATAATTTTTTTAGAACGATTGGAAATTTTTAAATTTCGTCGAAAAATTTCATACCTACACCAATTTTTTTTGCAAAATTGGATAGGAATTCGGGGCTATGTCTATTGACCAAAAATTATTGTAATTGGCCCCTGCAACTAGGCATAATTTTTTTATAACGATTTGAATATTTTTAATTTTGGCGAAAAATTTCACACCTACACCAATTTTTTTCTCGAAAGTGGGTATAATTTCGAGGGTATGTCTATTGACCAAAAATGATTGTAATTGACCACACTAGCTAAAAATAATTTTTTTAGAACGATTTGAAATATTTTTTTTTTCGCCGAAAAATTTCAGGAGAATAGGTGTACGTCTGGTCAGACATTCAGTAGTGAATTTTTTTCTCAAAAGTGCGTAGGATTTCGGGGTTATGTCTATTCACCAAAACTGACTGTAATTGACCCCTGCAACTAGGCATAATTTTTTTATAACGATTTGAATATTTTTAATTTCGTCGAAAAATTTCACACCTACTTCAATTTTTTTTTTTGGGAGTTAAGATAGTTGCTTCTGTTTTGGTGGGATTTATTATCAGTTTCCATGCGGAGGTGAATCGTAGGATGTGATCAAGGTGGTTTTGAGTGTATTTGATTGCCTGGTTGATTTGTCACGAAGAAGAGTAGACTACAGTATCGTCGACATCGTGGGCTAATTTAGTGTTGAGATTTTTGGGGACGTCATTGATGAATATATTGAATAGGATGGGTCCCACTCCTGGATAGCTGTGGTACCCCAATATGTAGTAGTTTGGGAGACGACAGAGAGCTGTTGTGAGAAACTGTAATGTACCCATCGGTGAAGTAGCTGTAGACTATTTTAATTAGATGTGCATTGAGCTTAATTTGGTGGAGTTTAAAGAGGCCATTGTATAGCAACGGAGGGGTCGAACGAACGCTTGTGAGAGCGCGACCACTCTGGTGGCGAGCATGGGAGGCGTCGCTACAATTCGCTATCTAGCCCTTTTAAGGTGTTAAGAACCAGAATCCAACGAATTTCAATCCTTCGACCTCGTTACATCGTGTCCACGATCAGTTTACAGCGTCGATTGGGATTCTAATCCTGCCCGTGCACTAAATAACCTATTGATAGAACTGTCGCCTAAACGGAGCCGATGCAACGAGTCCCATCTCCCTGGGCGCGATATTTGAAAACGACTGTCGCCTCTAGAGCATAAATGGCACCCCCAGGCATCACCGCCTCTATTTCGATCGTTTCTGTCCAAGTTCGCGTTACACTCGAGTTCCAAGGGATCCGATGCTCGTCGCACCGAGCAAGTTCCGCGCCAATCCACATCTTAACAACACGTTCGCCGGTTCGAAGAGCAATATATTAACCGTTAAGTAGGGTGAACAGACATCCGACGTCCTCCGCGGAGGATTATCCGCGTCTTAATTACGAACCGTGATTACCATAAGTTCTATCTTCGAATCTCCCGACTTCTTGCAAACGCGTGATTCCTGTTAGATTCGTTTTCGCCCGGTGGCGCGATAAATCGTCGATGGAAAAACACGGCCCACGGTGTTTGAATCCCCGGTGGGGAAAAAATATTACAAATTGCTGGACGATATTATATCACTTTAACTGCGACGCGTCACTGTCCTCGCCGGTACCGGGGCCCTCGAATCCGCGCGACAATCGTAAATCACGGGATGACGGTCGCAAAAAGTCCGCTGCCCGGGCGAAACGCGTTTTTATCGGCCAGGACCGTACCACCCGCGGCGAAATAATGAAGAATAACTTGACACCGTGTTAAATCGACGCCCGGGTGTTTTGTCGACGAACGTCCCGTTTCATGAGACGTTAAATCGCGGCCAGGAGGACCTTTCTTCCTCGAAGAACCTCCGGCAACGGTTCCATCGCGCATTCGAAGGGCTTCCGGTGTGTCCGCCATTACTCTTCGGCTCGATGTCGAACGGTTTACCGTTTCTTTCGAAACATCTGCAAGTTACAGTCGCAATAAAACCGCGAAATTCGCACACCGTGACCAAAAATTTCTTAAATGAATTGCGAATTCTGTCCACTTCGTGAAATCGGTTGGAAAACGAGCGGATGAACGCTGCATCGATCAGGGAAATTTTGATTCGCGACTAGGTGTTTAATGTGAACGTTACCGCATGTTGCGACATCGTAATTGGAGAAATTGTTTCCTAAAATTAGATTTATTTTATTTATGATTTACCTTCCGATTATATTTACGATTACTTCCGGATGGTCTGAACGAGTACCAGGATGCGGCGTAAATGCAACGCGATAAATATTTAATTCGCGTCGAGGCCGTCCATAAAATTGCTAATCCCTCGATTTTCAACGTTTCCATTTAAATGCTATCCCAGTATGAATCGCTATAATTTCATGAATATACCGGAACGACCGTGTAGCCGCCCATTACGAAATCTTTAATTCGTGAAAGCCAAATGGTACGAGCGATTGCTTTGTAAAGTAGAACATGTTCGATTATTAAAACTAATAAAAATACAAGCGTTTCTTGGATGCTGTCAAACATCGATATTAATTTTTTTTTTACAGTCTCTGTCCTGCTCGCGCGATAAAACGTTGGAGTAATGGAGGATCCACCGTGACTAATTGCCCTTTAGGAGCATCGAGACGAAAAGAAGGTACGTTGGGATGTCCAGTCGATAGAGTTTTTCTGTAATTTCTAATTGCATTGGACGC